CGTCAACGTAGACAAGACAGACAGATATGCATTGAGATAAAGGAAGTTTTATCGACAGTATTTCTTGTCGTCGCCAGTGTTTTTCAACTTCGTACTCTTGTAAAGATCTACTGCTGTGTTTATTATCATCTTGAAAGAAGCATTATCCTCGATGGATGGCAGCTATATCCCAATACATGAGATAATCGTTTCTCAGTGGTGTCTTTGGTTAACAAAATGTACTCATGAACTTTTTATACTTGGTATTCAACAAAATGTCTTCGTGTATTTCTCGAAGGAGGAAAAGAAGAGATATCACTAGTGGATTGGTTTGCGTTTCAGGTCAGATAGAACTGTGTGCCACACGATCTACTGTCGATTAACCTGTTTATTTGAAGATCCTCGACGAAGACGGGAAAATATCATACAATAAACTCTACTGAAAATTCTGTACATTATATGAGCACTGCTCAGAATAAAGCTGTTTTTCTTAATAAAACTATCAACTACTATTTTACTTGAAGTTGCCAGATGGAAGGAATACAAGAGGAAATAAATTCTACTGTGAATTCTGTACATTTTATTGATAATGTCCAGAATAAATCGATTATCACAATCATTACCATGGTAACATGCAGTAGAATCCGACACCGCTCATTTCAAAAACATCTCGTGAGGACACAAGTACATCCAGGTGACGAGTCCCAGTGAGGAAGAAATGTACTGGATTCTACTACTGGCCACCATCGAAATAATTCAAAGGCAATATTTATAATAGTATATACCATTTAAACCTATTCACTTCACACTTATGATTAGGTCACGAGAATACGATTGGTTACCTAGGTAACCAACCAAACAACCAACCAACTATTAAAATAAAATATACCCTTAATATGTGAACGTATATATATGTAATTCAATGATCAATTAAATTTTATGTCTATATAAAGAAAATTTAAAGATTTTAAAAAGCTACTCCGCCATTTATTACTTTTCTTCTGTGTGTATATATTTTCTCTGTAAAATTTATGTTTTTTTTCATTGATGCTAGAACCGAGAACAGTATTTCCTTTGAATGACTTTCACTTGTAACAGTAAAACAAAAGTTTACCCTCATTTTTTAAAAATTTGTTTGTTTTTAAGCGACAAAGAATAGACCTGGCTTTTAAGACATTTATTTTTACAAAGTTTTCTGGAGTATTTATGGTATGTTAGATGTAAGGAGAATGTATAGAACCATCGACAGTTCGATATTAGACCATCTGGTTCAAACCGACCGGCCATAAAGCAGCTAGCATTGAAGAATCCTTCTCTATCATCTACCGGGTACCAAATAAAATGTCAAAAACGTCGAGGTACCGAATACTCCAAACAGCAGAGGCTGTAGCGATTCACCTTTAACAACCAGTGCTTTGTATGTAGAAGAAGCAAGTTCAGCCAGCCACTACTGTGGTGGTGTGATACAGACAATATATTCCAAAGGGAATATTGTTCTCACAGTTCACTACTGCACTAGCAACAGTATACTATGTGTTTTTTTACGAGTTGACCAAGGAATGATATCAACTACAGAAATTAAATCTGATGCTTGCTAGTGACTTGCTACAGGGTGGAGTTTTCTGGAGTTCTAGTGAGAAGTCGTGACCAGTGAGGTCCATCCAGTCACGTGTGACGATGGACATCCCACCAATGACATTGGTTGGAGTTGCGCTAAATCATGAATTGGTAGAAGTTAGAATTCATGGACTGGCCATTGAATCGGGTCCCAGTGGCTGAATGGTATACGAACTTGCCTTGAAACCGGAAGGAGCTGGGTTCGAACCCCAGTGGGTGCGTACTGCCGATGATTCCCAAACTAGGATGAAACAGCTGGCTGTCTAGTACTCCCCCCAGCTGGTTTTCAATGGCTCTCTAAATGATATCAATCCGTGATCAACTCGTAAAAACAAAACTAACCCTTATAAACCAACTATAGAGATACTCTGTACGTATTTGAACATTCTATTTCATGTCGTTTAATGTAAACCAAAATCACACGCTCAGTGATTGATTAAAGAATATAAACCATTTTAACTGCTCCTGTAGAGCGTGCCAGTTACATAGGCCGTACAATTATGCGTAATTCTCATCGGATTTCCGAACATCACCCTGCACAGTAGTTAAGTAAAGGACAAACAAAATCTATTCGTAGCGCTATTCTATCTCATCTTGTGGATACAGAACACAAGATAGATGTCAACGAGGCAGCTTTCAAAGTCATTTACTGCATACCAACAAATCTCAATTTCGCCTTAAGAGTTCGACTACTAAATATTGCTGAGGCCGGCCGTTGGTATCCACATTAAGAAGCCTAATTTATGTGTCCAAAAGAAACTAGTTTAAACATTATCATTACCTTGGCCATCTAGGTTTGAATGATCCTCAATTTTTCTGGAAATTTCCTTAATTTCAGTTGGTATTCTATTTGCTGTTATATTTTCATCATTATTGTAATTTAAGCATCTTTAATGAACTGTAATTGCATTGATCTTACTTTAAAAATCGATATTAATCTTAAAAACACTATTATTGTTATTGACTACTATTCTAGAATATTCTATGTATATAAACATATACGTATATAATTGTAGAGCCAGAAGAGGAAATTATCGAAAAGGGGATATTCTTTGCCCAATTATTTTGTGTTTTATAAATAGCTGTTTGATCATTTGAAAATATACCTTGTCTTGCCGTCTGCTGTTACACTACTACTGCCCTGGTCTTCAGTGGAGACTATACATTCACACATGAATTTGTATTATTATCTTTCTTAATTTGTCTGATATTCAGCTTGTAGTGTTATGTTGACTCTGTCGAACTGTAATCCAATGATATTATTATTGATTGATTCGATGTTATTTAAACAATATTAATGCTGTTAATAACACTAATTCATTCACTATTACGGATGGATATATAACTATAGAACCTGATGAAGAGCAGGTTATCGAAGAGAATATTCTTTGTTCAATAACCATTCTTTTGAGAAAATTTAAATGGGCATTTTTAATCAGTTAGAATTTTGAAGAGCTGTTTCGTCCCCACTTGGGACTCTTCATCAGTACGCACCCATGACCCCACCCACTGGGGATAGAACCCATTGCCTTTCGATTACAAATCGAGCTCGTTAACCAATGAGACAAAAGCCAAAGGCCTCACAAATTCTAAATTTTGCCTATTCGGGCGATATAAATATGGTACCATCTTCAGGCAATTTCATCGGAGAGTATTTGTCATCCCATGCGATCCGATACACCCAAATGGTTACAAATGGTTTCACTGAAACTCCAGGCGACATCGTCGTATATTCAAACACAACTGAGCATATTAGATTAATTTCTAAGTCTTTCTTTGCAGGGATCTGAAATCTTAATCCACTAGATTCCATTCAGGTAGCTGAGTGACTGGTCAACGTGCTGACATCCTTGGCTTGGGTGCGTGATACTGAAGAGTACCAAAAACGGGGACGAAACAGCTCTTAAGTATACCCTGGTTTTCAATGGTTCTTTAGTATTGATGTGACAAAGAAAATATAAAAACTGTTGATGTATACTTACTTACGTGATCGGACAGTTTTAGAAATTCATATTTCCTCATAGCATATATTCAAAAACAGAAAAAGATGTGAGCCAACAATTTTTACTCTGGAAAGTTCCTCTTCTTCGTCAACTTGGTTTTATTATTCTATTTTCTTCCTTCATGCTCCCAATGGAACATTAGGCTTAAAGCTAGAGCTCTGAAGTTTTCGATAGCAGTGGTTCTTTTTCATAAATTTTTACTCACTGGGGATGCTAGCCTCAGCTAGTCCAACCTTGACTTTTTGCTGACCTTACTACAGCTTAGCGAGGTTTGGGAGTGCGGCGTTGGCAGGGGATGGAACGTCAGACAAAGTGCATTCTTGGCGAGCTTTCTACCGGCGAAACACTGATGCACCAGCTCAGTCTCTACAGAGTCCGTAAATATTAGAAATGTCATAACCAGTAAATTTTCAAGTATTGGATTTGTAGGGATTTTGTTTGATTCCATGGAGGATTTAATCATGAGCTGACATCATTTAGAGAACCGCTGGAAAACCTGGGAGTACTAGACAGCTGTTTCGTCCTAGTTTTGGACTCTTTGGTAGTAGGGTACAGCAGGTTAAAGATGAAGCAGTAAAGCATCGAAGAAGACATTGCGAAGTGGACGTGCTATGTCGCGAACTGGATCTGTTCCCAGTGGCTCAGTGGTCAACAAGCTCGCCTTGTAACCAGAAGGTCCTGGGTTCGAGCCCTGGCTGTGGGTGCGTACTGATGAAGAGTCCCAAACTAGGACGAAACAGTTGTCCAGTACTCCCAGGTTTTCCAGTGGACCTCTAACTGATGTCAGCTCATGATGAAATCCTCCCTGCAATCATAACCAGTAAAGGCAAATCAAAATTATATCAAAAGTTTATTACGATGTACCTGGTGAAGATGGAATAGGTAGTACATAGAAGAATTTACTCTTTATGCAGTCGTGAATATGTAGAAGTTGGGGATGGGAAAGGCGCAACCAACAGCTGCCTTCACTGGATGCTAAAGATCAAATGGACATCCAGAAAGGATAAGTAACAAAATGGGATTCTTCCAAGAAATCGAACAATAGTCCTGAACAGTTGCTTTTATTGTAGTTTGCGCCTCTATAACAGTAGGCACCCATGACTCTACTTACTGGGGATCTAACTCCAGGACCTTCCAACTAAAAGGTGAGCTTATCAGTTCGCAAATAAGCAGAAATCATGAGCCACTGGACACCATTCTACTGGCTAAATGGTCAACGAGCTCTTTTTGAAACCTGAAGGTCCTGGGTTCGATACCCTGAATACCAGAATCCTGAACTAGGACGAAACAGCTGTCTGGTTTTCAATGATTCTCTAACTGAGCTGTCAATCTGTGATCAAACCTCAAAATCAATAAAAGAGGGAATGATAAAACATTAGGTAATCTGGTAATTCTACTTACCTCATATAATCTAATAATATTTGGATGATGTAAACTCTCCAGAATAGATATTTCACGACTAAGTAAACGTCGAGTTGATGCATCCATTCTACTCTTGTCCAAGACTTTAATAGCCACACGTTCTTTGATGATTTATGAAGGTGTGTGTACAGGCGGATAGACAAATCGAGTGTAGATGAAAAAGAGTAGAACAAAAATAAGAAAGAAAAGGCATTAGTTATAAAAAACGCATGATTTAAACAATAATAAAAAGATTTCTCACTGGTTAAGAGTTTCGTCCTAGTTTGTTGGACTCTTCAGTAGGGCATATATATAAGACCTTAGAAAAGAACGCCTTCATAACGATCATGTTTTGAAATGAACAAATTAATCAGATGAAATTCCTCTGGAAGCATTGAAACGGGTATATAGAATTCACAAGGATAATTTGGAGGAAAGCGAAGGTACCTGACGATTGGAAGAATGGCTGGCTACCTTGTCAAACCACCAGAGGAGGACAGAAAGCAAAATATTAAATCGCATCATCCTGAGGAGACTGAAGAATGGCTATGGATTCAAAACTCCTTCTCAAAAGGAGATGGATTCATGAAGAGCAAATCATGTACTAATCATAATTGTAAAACTACACATTCATCATTGAAAAAAGCATAGAATGGCCGTCAAATCTTTGCCTCAGCTTCATAGACTTTGAAAAGTCCTTTGACAGAATTGACCACGAAAGGATTCGGGAACTGCTTCACCACCACAGAGTGCACACGACCATTATCAACCTCACCCAGTAATTATACGATGAAATCACACGCAAGGTGATTCACAACGAAGGGTTCAGTAAAGCCTTTACAGGGCTGCTTACTATAGCGAATGATCCTCTCCATTGTGGTGGACTAGATCATGTGGTAGACCGTGTCGCGCACAAGAAGACGTGAGTATGTCGCACTGATGAAAAGACACTGGAAGAACGGGATTTCAAAGATGGTCTGTGCCTAATATCACATAAATTAGAAGGTGCACATGCGAAATGTGACAAGTTGCAGGAGAAGCTGTCAGCGAAGACAGGAATTCATGTGAACACAAAGAAGACAGAAGTGGTAAATATACAAAATTAACAGGCACTGAAACAGTCATATGACGAAGTTTATTTCATCATCGGAAAGGCGAGATATACCTCCATCAACGTGAAACCAGTTTGGAAATCTTCTGCTTCACTCAGTCAGTATAAAAAAGATTCGGATTTTCAGCACACATATGAAATCAGCCAGTTGTTCGCTCCATAGTGAAAATCAAATGGTCGGTCGGTCAGCAAAAATTAGCAACAAAAATCTCTGACTGGGAATAGACCAACCTAGAGCCGATGGCTCAACAAATATGTAGGAGAAAATGGAGATTGATGGTTCAAGGCATACTCTGAGGAGACCGTTGAATGACATCGCGCACCAGACCCTTGAATGGAACCCGAATGGGGTGCGACGAATGGGTCATCAGTGAGAGGGTGACATGTAGGAGATCGTGAGAGGAGAAGATAAGAGATTATGGGTAATCGTGTGGTCACCCAGCGGGAGAGGATCGCAGAAAATAGGATGAATAGGAGATGTGTTGTTGAATCCCTTTGTTCCACTCGGAACCCAAGGGAATAATAACAACAGATCCGGTTCACCAACTAGATCTTTATTTCATATTTCATTATACAACTTCTATCAACGATTTCAATGAACTTATACTCACTACTGATAGACAGAAATCTATACAGTGAAAGAGAATATCAGAAATTTTTAATTTTAGCCCTTGTTTTTGTTTTACAATAAAACGTTCATGTGATCCTGTTGAAACAGGCGTTTCCTTAAACATCTCTTTTTTGTGATCATTATTGCATTCCTCTTTATTTCGTTTCTTGTTTTTTTAACTATGTTATCCAGCTGAACGTGATAAATCGTTACCTCCTTCAAACTAATTATCTAACTTTTAAGAACACAACATTCAGCGAAGTGACTCTTTTTTTCAACGAATTTATTATCAAACTGTACAATTGTATATACACATTTATGATTCAAGTGATGGCTTGCAAGAATTTGATTGGTTTCAGGATTTGATAATGATTTCACAATGAACTGATGCTTACTAGTGACTGGCTGCCCTACTGAGGTAGGTAGTTACCTGGGGTTCAAATGGGAAGTCGTGACTAGGTTGGGTGTGAACAGAAATACTCGTCGGTGATGTCATTGCCTAGTGATCGCACCATATCATGAATTGGCAGGAGTTGGAATTCATACACTGGCCATTGGATCGGGTCCTAGTGGCTTAGCGATCAACAAGATGGCCCACCTTGTAACCTGAAGGTCCTGGGTACAAACCCTGGTGATGGGTATGTGCCGATGAAGAGTACGAAACTAGGCGGCCAAAACAGCTGGCTGTCCAGTACTCGCTGATGGTTTTCCAATGGTCATCTAACTTAGTTCAGCTCATTATGGAATTCTGAAATACGTGTGATTTTTAATAAACCATGTCTTGGTGCATGATCTTAACTCAGAGAGCCGAGAAGTGTGTCGGTGGCACAGCGGTAGAATGCTAGCCTACCCCGCATGTATTCCGGGGTTCTACCCTTGGCCCACGCAGTCCTTTACCTCGCTGAGCCAGTAATAAGGCTGTTAAAGAGGGAAGGTTGGTAGTGAGGCTAGAAACTCAATCCCGTAAAATGAACACCACTGCTACCGAAACTTCAAGCCTCTAGCACGAAGCCCTATGTTCCACTGGAAAAGTAAAGGAATAAAAAAGAATATGTCTCGTCAAGAAATTGAAGCAAAAGGTGTGAATACTTGATGATGATAATAATGTGAAATGTGCGATTACAATGTTCGTGATTATAATCATAGTTCAACAGCTATCGATGAAACAAATAGTGTCATATATAGAATGTGGTTCGCAGAAGGTATAGATCTTGAGAGGGGGTGTAAAGTCACTCGGGTTAAGGGTTATTAGTTTTCAAGAGTTTTTCTGTAAGGATTCGATTTGTTTCAGGTTTACCCACCGGTTGATGTGGGTTCAAGGATCATTGGAAACCGGTAATGAACAACTGTTTCATCCTAGTTTTGGACTCATCGGCAGTACGCACGCACGCCTAGGGCTTGAACCTAGCACCTTCCGGTTACAAGAGCCACTGGGTCGGGTTCCATTGGCTGAATGGTCAACGAGATAATCGCCTTGTAACTGGAAGGTGCTGGGTTCAAGCTCTAGTCGTGCATGCATACTGCAGATGAGTTCAAAACTTGGACGAAACAGCTGTTCAGGACTCCAATACAGGTTTTCAATGATTCTCTAATTGATATCAATCCATGATCAAACTTAACAGGATTGGTAGGCAATCAAAGCATTACGTAACATGGTGAGAAGTTTGATAATATAGAATTTAATATTGAAAAAAAGATTTATTGATTTCGAGGAATAAATTAGACAAATGAAATACTGACGATAACACGTGATACTTCCATAATTTGTGATGAAAAATCTGATCTAGACATTCTCCTTAACACTTTCAATGTGGCATACCCTTCAATAAAACTCACCCTATAGAACGTGAATCAAACATGCCATTTCCATTTATGGATGTGTTACTTACTAGAAGATAAGATTACTCGGTTCAAAGATCAATATACCCGCAAACCAACATGGATTGGATCCTTTATTAAATTTCAGTTTTTTTTCCACTGATGCGAAATAAAAATTGAGTACGTGACTACCGTATGCTCAAGAATTCGAAAAATCCGCTATGTGACAGCCTGCTGGAAAGTGGATATCCATCGGGATTTATTGTCAAAAATATGAAAGGAAAACCCCCATTGCTGAAGACTAAGACTCATCCTAAGAAAACTCTCTTCAGGGGACTTGGAATTTAAAGATGACAATGAAGCAGAAATTCTTAGAAACAGCCTCTCTTTAAATGTTTGAAGAAGATATTTCAACCAGCCGCCTTATTGATCACGTTCTGGGGAAGACAGTTTATCTATTCTAACGTTATGGATGAGATACCTTTTTTGGCCACCTCAGTGTGTATTTATCAGTTTAGTTGCTCGTATGGAGCAAAGTATATCTGTCGTGCATGACGTTTGGTCCATTAACGTTCTGTGGAAGTACTGAAGAATACCAGTATTTCAGTCCCCTAGACATAGAATACATCTGCAGAACTGCCTCACAGTCCTACGCAGAGTCCGTCACCTCTGCAATAAAGGACTTTGAATATACCATCTTTATATACTCAAATAATTGACTATTCAGGACCTGAAACTGGACCTCTGCATTTTAGAATACTACATACATTACCAGCATTACCGTGGCCAAAGTAACGTCCTTACAACATTAAATTATCATCTCCTTGGGTTTCAAGTGGAACACAGGCCTCCAACAACACGTCACCAAGTTTCTTCTATCTTCTGCTGTCCTCTTCAACCAGGTCCACGATTGACCATAATCGCACATTTCCCCCTCGTCACACAATCTCCTCATTTCACCCTCACATTGACTACCCACTCGTCACTTTCCATTGGGATTCCACTTGAGTCATGGCCTGCATTGCACGCTATGTCATTAGACGGTCTCCTCAATTTATTCCCCATACATCCATCTCCGTTTTTCCCTACATATTTGTTGAGCGGTCGGCTCTTGGTTGGTTTGTTTCCAGACGGAGTTTCTTCTTCAAAATTTTTTCTGGCCAGCCGGCCATTTGATCTTCAGTATGGAGCCAGCCAGCGAAGGCGGTAGCTGTTGATAAAAGCATGTAGCTGGCCCGGTGGAAGTGATTTTCATGACGTTCAGTGCAAGTTTCTGACTCGTTTAGAGGAACTCACTGACTCAACATTGATAGTGTTGAAAATCCGAATCTCGTTCTTTATGCAGACGTGGAGCGCAGAAGATTTCTAAACTGGTTTCAGGCTGATGAAGTCATATCTTGCCTTTCTCATTCTGGCTAGGTGGCTTAGACATCCTCATCCGTGCAGTGTGCCTGTGGTTCAAACCGTGCTTCCTAGCAGGATAAATGAAGGAAGTAACCTCTATCGAATCTCTCCCGCTGATTATTGGTGCTAGTTAATGTTGCTGTTGATTGGTTGTCTGGTTGGTTGGCTATCTTTATCAC